AAAAAAAAAAAAAGAATAATGATAAATAAATATAATCTCACCATAATTGTAATTTTCTATTTTTTAACCTTCCCATTCTTTTATCTGGGTACATAGTTTTTATGTAGTCGCAGTCAAGGTGTGTATATGTAAGGTGACCTAATTTAAATAATCTTGTATTTGCTAACAGGTGCACAGTCATTACGTTTGATCTTTGTAAGAGCTTCCCTCATCGTTTATGTAACTGTTCCTCTCTGTAGTCCCTTTAGTATATTTAGAGTTTTTCAGCATTTTTTTAAAACAATTTTTTAATGTTTACTCATTTTTTGGAGAGATTGAGAACAGAGGAGGGACAGAGAAACGGGGACAGAGGATCTGAAAAGAGGGCTCTGCGCTGACTGCAACAAACCCGACGCAGGGCTCGAACTCAGACTGTGAGATCACGATCTGAGCCGAAGCCAGATGCTCAACTGACCGAGCCACCCAGGCGCCCCTAGAGTTTTTCAGCATTTTAAATGATGATACTATAAATATCTTTCGCGTAGAATTTTTTTTCTCTTTAATGACTACTTTGGATTAAATTTCCAAGAGTAGAATCTCAGAGTCAACATTTTTTATGTGTATTTGTACATCTTGTCAGATGGTCTCTGGTTTATGCTGCTCCTGGTGATGTGTAAGGGTGCACCTGCTCTGTGCCAGCCTGGGTGCCTTGTGCCCCGCTGCTTCTCTGCACTCACTCCCACAACTAAGGACACTGTGTTACAGACTCTTCCGTTCAACAGTTTGGTCAGCGGCTTGAAGATATAGGTGAAGGTCCAGATTTACAGATAACTCAGGCACATGGAGAATAGCGAGTGTGTGGGAGACAGGATTGCATCCAAAAAGCAGAAATGGCAAAATCTGGGGCGCCTGGGTGGTTCAGTCAGTTAAGCGTTCGACCCTTGACCCTTGATTTTGGCTCAGGTCATGATCTCACAGTTGTGAAATCGAGCCCCTCGTCCAACCAACTCTGTGCTGAGAATGGAGCCTGCTTGGGATTCTCTCCCTCCCCCTCCTTCTGCCCTCGCTTACACCTCTCTCTCTCAAAAAAAAAAAAAAAAAAAAAAAAAAAAAAAAAAAAAAGATAAAACCAATTCTCTTTTTAAAAAATGGCAGAGGGGCGCCTGGGTGGCTCAGTCGGTTGGGCATCCGACTTCGGCTCAGGTCGTGATCTCACGGTTTGTGAGTTAGAGCCCGGAGTCGGGCTCTGTGCTGACAGCTCGGAGCCTGGAGCCTGCTTTGGATTCTGTGTCTCCCTCTCTCTGCCCTTCCCCTGTCTGTCTCTCTCTCTCAAGAATGAATAAACATGAAACAAATTTTTTTTTCGAATGGGCAGAACCTAACAAAAATGAGAACGACAGGGAATTGTTATAAGGTCCTGTGCTTGGATATAAAAATCCATCTATACAAGTTGAAGATGGGGAGGCATGGTGTGACCTCAGGACCCCAGACAGAGGCAGACTGGGGAGCGCTAACAGCAACAGTGTGCCAAAAACAAGACCAGAAATGCTAGCGGGGGCACTTACTGCGTGCGGGACCCCGTGTTGATGTCTCACACAGATGTAATCCCTTTGATCTCCACAGCAACCAGGGAGACACTTAGCAAAATTGTGATGAAAAGGCATCCTGTGGCGCAGAGAGGTTAAGTAATTCGGGCAAGGCACAGAGCCAGGCGGTAGGAGAGCCGAGAGGAGAGCCTGGGTCTGGCGGCCCGAGGGGCCGGGATCACGCTGGGTAGAAGCGCTGGGTGTGGGTGGTCCAGGCCCCTGCCCCCGGGGGGTGCTGTGCCAGGGGCCGTCGGGAAAGGACACTGACTGGGTCAGGAGACATTCGCACACAAGCCGGGAGATGGGCTGAAGGAGCCGAGAAGAGTAGGCTCCGTGCTCCGCGTGGTCACAGAGCGGCCCTGCCGCTGCCTGCTGTGGCCTGGAGCAGCTCTCTAACCTCAGTTCCAGATTCTTCAACAGCAAAACGGGGGTTCCAATTTTACTGTTAAACACGGGCTCCTGAGGACTTAGCAGGCAGCCGAGTGCCCGACATGTCGTAACCATTTATTAAATGTTTGGTTTATTCTTTTTTTCAAATACTTGAAGATCTGTTAACACGAGCGAGGGAGGGATCAGCCTGTCTGTGGCCCAGATAAAGTTCCATAGGAAGAGATGGGACTATTGGTAAACAGTCCTACAACAGTGTGATGGGTGAGGCAGCAGCAAAGGGAAACCAGCCTGGGGGCGCCTGGGTGGCTCAGTCCTTTAAGCGTCCTGACTTTGGCTCAGGTCATGATCTCACAGTTCATGGGTTCGAGCCCCGCATAGGGCTCTGTGCTGACAGCTCGGAGCCTGGAACCTGCTTTGGATTCTGTGTCTCCCTCTCTCTCCGCCCCTTCCCTGCTCGCACTCTGTCTCTGTCTCTCTCAAAAATAAATAAACATTAAAAAAGAAAAAGAAAGAAAGAAAGAAAGAAAGAAAGAAAGAAAGAAAGAAAGAAAGAAACAAACCAGCCTGTCTCCAGAGGCAAGCTGTCATGTTGTAGAAGGAAGGATTCTTCCAGGAAAAGCATTTGAACAGGTCCTCAAGGTCACATGGGTCAGAGCATGGCGTGTCTGGGCTGGTGAGCTGAATCTCAGCAAGGGAGATCCCGGGGGTGAAGTCGGTCCATCCAGGGAGAACTCAGTCCCCACCCCCCCACACACACAGTTACTCAAAGCCAGCTAACCCTTTCCTTTCATTTGTTGCTGTTACAGTTTGTTTCATTAGAATTTTAGAAGCAAATTCCTATTGTTTGTTAGATCGCAGTAGTTTTCCGGAAAGGCGGACGACCTACAAGATATGTTTCCTCTTCAGTTTCTCAAAAACCTTTTTTTAGGGAGATAGTCAGAATACACAAAATAGAGAGGATAGTAAAATGAATCCAAATAAACCCCTGTGTGCCCACCATTTGACCTCAACAATTTACCAAACTTATGGCCAGGCTCGTTTCACCCATCACCCCCTTCCTGCCCTTTCCTTCCTCTCGAAGATTATTTTGGAGCTGGTCCCAGAGAGCCCATCATTCCATCTGGGACTATTTTAGCGGATGATGCTAAGATACGCGGACTCTCTGTAAACTGTTTCAGTTTGCTAGGACTGCCGTAACAAATACCATAGTCTGGGTGGCCTCAACTACAGACATTTATTTTCTCATCGTTCTGGAGGCCAGGAGTCCAAGTTCAAGGCGTGGGCAGGCTTGGTTTCTTCTGAGCTCATGCGTTCTTCTCCTTGTCTTGTGCATTTATGTC